ATGGACTAGATTTGATCCCTGGCCCCGGGAGAGGGAGGTTGCAAGGCATTCAAAGCTTTCTCTGCGCTCTCTGGTCAGCGTGCTGTAATTTTCCGGGCGTGACAGCTAAGTTACTACTCTTGGGAGTGGATAGCGTGGGCGATGTATCATAGCTCTGACAAGAAAAAGATGTTAAAACTTTCTGAATTCCCCTCCAGGAGTTGAACCTGGTACATAATTATACAAATCCGCTAAACTACGGGGGAGTCGTCATAGTAGCCGGTAAGCGCATCGCTTTTGATGTGGCATGCGCCGCGCCGAGTGAAAAGGCGTACTTTGAGACTCCCAGTGAAAGCGGCCCGTGTGCTGGAAACACGACAACTGGTCGGGAAGAACGTCGTTCCTGAGGAAAGACATGATATTTGGGTTTACATAATGCAGAAAGTGAGTCGAATCTAAGACGACGAGTACTATGTCGTCTGTATCGTAGTCGAAGTTGACGAGAGGAAGTAGCGGGGATGCGCAGAGCAGTCTTCAACGAGGAGCCGCCGCTCCATGTCGAGCCTAGATGACTTCATCCAGCGACAACAAAGTCCCAGACCTCACACTGACGTGTGTAAAGAACTGAGAACTGTGTCGACGGCGGCAGGCAGTGTTCAGCAGTGCACTAAACATCAGATAATTTTTACACGTTATCACGCCAGGCGGATTTTGTAAGTCGACGTTGATTGGCAAGGATCATCACAACGTCGCGTCGTTAGGTCAGAGTAAAATCGTGGTGGTCGTCGTCAGAGGGAGCGGAGCAGCCAGTGGCTGTGCCTTGCCTCCTACTGATCAACAGCCGTCATACCGATTGCTTGACTGTGATCTCTTCCGAACGAGTGACAAAGGTGCCCCACAAATTTGAGCCGTTCGTTCCTCACGCCAAATGTGTGATCGGCCAATTTAAGCAAAGAGCAGTGTTGCTTGATTCCGTTCCCGTTGTTTTGGTTGGCAGGACAGCACGATCGCTTTGCGGGGTTCTTTCTTCTAGTCGCTCCATTCCTCATTCACTTCGACTCTGGAGCTTAACTTGGCATATGGCAAGAAGGATTGATAGTGGAACCCCCTCGCAGTAGCCTTGACCAGAAACCAATACGGTCCTACACCCATCGCCGAAGTTCTGGACGGTTGCTTACACCTCCGTGGCTATACTCAGAGAGGATAGTGAGGAAGTCAGCGCGTGCGGTAATAGCCTAGGTACGTTGCTGCTTGCTCTTCGTGTAGGGCCCACTTAACAATCCTGTTTTCTCTAGACCAGGCTTCGGTGCTTTTTGTCTTTGCCTATCGATTACAGCCTACACGCAAATTATTCAATGTTTCGTTCACGCTATCCTCCCTGCTATTATTCTCCTCCGTACGCTGTCTCGTGGCGGGAACGAGGATCGAACTTTCTCGCCTCTTGAGCACCGTCGGTTAATAAAACTTCCTTCCTTCCTTCCTTCCCACGACCAGAGACCATCCCGATAGTCATTTCAGGAGTCCACGTGTCACACTCTGACTCGACGAGACATGTACGTAGGGAAGGAACTCTCGACAAGTCTCGTAGTACATGCCAAATCGGCCCGTTCATACCCAGGCCAAGGAGATGCGACTATCAACACCGTACACGTGTACGTAGCCTAGTGGAATCAACAATATCTGTACCAGGTTCGACTCCTGGAGGTGAAATGGCGATATATCCTGCTTTTGGTCGTGATCACTGAAAGCAAACAAATCCGAGTCATTTTCCTCGCTTTACCTTGGTTTTCTTATTCACCAGATACGGGACAAGACGCGTTTAGGATTGTCTCCCTGTGCATCAGGCTGAACTAAGATACAATGCCCTCGTTATCCACGCCGCTATCACTCGATTTCTCATTCTTCTTCCCGCGCACTCGTGATATTCAGGCTCACGCTGTCCCGCCGCCTCGATATAGTTCGTCCCAGAAGTGAACATCCCGACCGCATTACAGTCTAACGACGAAAAAGTCAATGTACATGTTCGATTCGTGGGGCGGTACTTCTTGAAGAAAGAAATGAAATTTTTCTGTTCTATACCTCTGTTTGGGGCCGTTCCTTTTTCACCAGTCATCGATAACCACAAGGAAGGCTTGGTTTACTTATGCCAAGTAGGACACGTGTTCCTTTATTCCAGGTATCATAATGGGGCTAGCACCCGTCCTTCTTTGCCTACTTCCCGATTGCATGCACATTCGAAGGTATTCTCGGAGACCTCTATGCTAGCAGGGTTACCAACCTCGCCTTTATCGACATCGTTCACCCCTCTTCACGTATTTTTTTCCTTCCACCTTTGGCTCGGGAGAGAAGATCGCAAATGACGACAAGGAGAATCTAGCTATATAGAGATGGGAAAGGTCGCGGATTGAATCCGTCTTGCCATCGATGTCAACACATCGCCAAGGAGGTACAGCCACCACGACAAAATATACATCACGGATGTATTCTCGCTGGCATTACGGACGCATGCATGTCCAGGTGCCACAGTGCGTGAAACTGGTGCAGGGAGGGCACGGTCCTGATTGGTACGAGACTTGTTTTCCGATTTCGTTTGACATGCTCACGATCTTTGCAGCATCGGTCCTTCTCATCCACTGCCATTATTCCATTCCATCTTGACCCTCGTTTGGACCATCCCACACGTCTAAGCGAAACTCGTCGATCTACGGATATGCTTCGTCCCTTCGTTACCTCACTCTTCCCGATGTTGGCGATATTGATGTCGCAAAACCCTTCCCACGCCTCACCTCCCCAGCGACAACGTGCTTGCCATCGAGATGTGATGTCGGTGCAACGATGATACAGAACTGGGACCTATTCGTGTTCAGTCCTGAGTTGACCATCGAGAGCAAGAACAGTTTACTATGCTTCACGGAGAAGGCTTCATCAGGGAACTTGGAACCGTAGATGACAGTGCCGTTGTGCGCTGTAAAGTGACCAAGCGGCGCATGAATTCACGAAATCCTTGGTCACCTGACGGAACCCCGAGCCTGCGTACTTGAGTGGAATACCATCCTTGCTCTTGTTGCCATAGAACACGAAAGTTCTCTGCTGTTTGGGCACCCGGTCGGAGTCAAGTTGGAACACGATTCGCCCAGCAGGAACGCCGCCGACGTATCGAAGCAGGTCAGCGATCGAGACATCATGCATGATGATCGAGAGCAAAGTGCAAAAGTCGTGTACTCTTAGTCGGATCCGTATTTCTCCATGGACACATGTGTATTTAAACTTCATTTTCTTCTATTTTATCTGTCTACGTATATTCACGCTGTCTACCAGACAGTATATATCCATTGTAGTTGTACTCCATGCCTGAGGCGTGTTTCTCGCATCACGAGTGCTTGTCTGAGGTGAGCTATCATTTATTTACCTTGTTCTATAGTTTACTTATATTGTACTCGTAGTTATCTTTGTTCTAGATATCTATCTCGCACTCTAACATCTGTGTTCCTCGATCCGGTCCTAACTGTCCATTCTAACCCACGGCGCTATATCAGAGCGGGCGCGGCGGTATCGTTGTAAGCAGTGCTTACACGGTGGTTCTGAAATGACGGAACAGTTTCGCTCTCATGTCCGCGCCTTCGACTCAGAGAGACTATTTATCTTCACCGGATGTACACTATATATTTCCATCTGATGCTCTGGAAAAACAGCGGTACGCCATCACCTATAGCCTCTCTTTTTGGTATTAATACGTTGAAGGCTTGAACTGCAGCATGCCCTTGTCAGGCGTGCGTTATGCGATGGCAAATCTGTACTGGCGCCGATAGTTCTAAAGCCAGGAGATAGAGTCTTGGACTCGGGTACAGGATCCGGTGAGGACTGACCTAGGAAATCTTGTCCACTGCTTACATTTTTTCTTTTCAGGAGCCTGGGCTCTTTCACTTGTGGAAGATGTTCCCTCCTCAGTCTTTCTTACAGCAATTGACATTCAGTCCAAAATCTTTCCCGAATCGTTCCCCCCCAACTTCGAGTTTCTCCTTCATTCGGTCACAGATCTACCCAGACAATGGACCGATAAGTTCTCTCTAGTCAACCAACGCTTCCTCATTGGGGCTCTGACTGGACCACAATGGAAAGTTGCTCTACAAGAATTACACCGCGTCATCGTCCCTGGAGCATGGGTACAGCTTGTCGAAGGAGCGACAATTCCAGGGCATATGGGACCTTTCTCGGCAAAGATTAGCAATCTGTGGTCGGCGTTATTCGCTCATAAAGGTCTACTTGTTGATGTGGTGCAACACCGTATGGAGTGAGACACGAGCACTGCCTTTGGGACAATGGGCTGGTCAGGATGGGATAGATTTTCGAGATGACATGATTTCAGTGTTCTCTGCCATGCGTGGGCCTATATTTATAGGTGGAGGTTTGGGACTGGTATCGTCGGAACAAGAATACGATGATCTCATTGTATGCGTAAGGAAGGAGTGGGATAATGGAAGAGAGGTATCTGATTCGAAAGAAATGACGGTGATGTATGCTCAGAAGATGTGAAGTCTCTTTCAATTCACGATCAAGCTAGGCTAACCAGCTACTTATTGAAGCCCTTCGTTTGAGACTAATGTTTCAACCTCCGTATTGAATTTATCATGTTGTTCCATCTCTTCTTTTGTCAGAACTATGATCCTTCGCCCACATTCGCTTTTTCATTCTTCTTTACTATGCAAACTGGTGTCAACGTCCTTACTCTCTAGGCACTGCGACTGAGCACCATCGATCATGAAGGTGAAGGTTGAATGGAGGTGGTTGACGTTCAGTGTCATGGTAGCACATCCAACTTCAACTCGGCACGAGGATCGTTTTGTCTGGGGGCATCTGAAGCTGGTGTTCGCTATGGCGGACCTGAGCGTTGCTCAGGACATATATACATCTCGATGTTCGACTTGGAAGGAATCCAAGTGTGGAATGACGGTGACTTGTGCAGTACTTCGTAAGCTAACCCGGACTCTATACTCTAATACGTAGAGTGCTAAACGCCATGCGGGACTGTGGCCAAGCGGTTAAGGGGCCTTGGATAGATCGTGACGACGCAGGTTTGATTCCTGCTGGTTTCGCTTCCTTTGACAGCAAACGATGTTTTTTGTCACCAAATTCATCCATGACCTGTAGGCTATCACTTAAGTCTTGACTCTTACCTTTTAATATGTTAACAGTATTTAATGTTCATTGTATATTGCTTTGATTGACCGTTTCACCTTGAATAATATCGAATGAAAACTCAACGCCCCAGACAAGTGGATTATGGTTTGGTAATTAATTCAGTCCCAAGAATTCAAAATTATCTGCAAACATATCCGAGGAACCACATAAACTCGAAGTACGGGACATGAAATGGTTGAATAAAAGGGATCGCTGCAGGAGCAAGTGTAATTTGAACTTGGGTTATCACAGAAGCAATGTATCCATTATGCCCACCATCGAAACAGGTAAACGATGCGTTGCGCACGTTTCTGCGTCACTACGCATCTTGTCAACCCTTCATGGATGGCGCCAGTCCCGCCGGGCCGCCACAGATCCCCACTTCAATCAGTCCCACATCCTTCATGATCATTCCCTTTCACGCGACCCGCTTGTCCTACCATGTGTCGCAGCTTAGCATGTATGCACCAAGTTGGAACACTTGAGGTGAATAAAATATGTTTCACCCTCGATATTCCATAATGTGTTCATTTCCGAGTTTTTGTTTCCAAGCATCAGGAAGAACTATGCAGCTAAGCGCACGAGGGCCAATCCGCATAAGACATCTTCATTGACGACCACCCAGTACCCACCTACTGGCTCAGAAAGAATGACCAAAATGCCGGTATCGATGCCTGCGTGAAGACGGGAGCGATGATGGCACCCTGCCGTTGAGAAAAGCAAGTGATGGATGGTTTCTCCGGGCCTCGATGCGCATGATTGATGCGCGAGAAGGGGAGACGATAACGATGTGTCTGGGGGAGCCAGATGAGGAGCAACGGCTATACACCTTTCGAGCAGTCGATGGATTTCGGGAACGTCTTGATAGCTGGAGCGAGTAAAGGATGAATTCGTATCGTATCAATGTCTCGAGAGATCCATTCCTACGCGAGCAGCGGTAATATACGAAGCCATGTCGGGTCCTTCTGTGACGGAAGCAGGCAAAGGATTTCCCGGTTGGAAAGTCGGGTGAGCGATGAGAAGAAGCCGTAACGAAGTCTGGCGTCACTGGAGACGCGCCTGCTCCAAACCTAAAACCCCTGACGAAAAGATGAACATGAGCGGGACTCGTAAGGGAAAAAAACTAGACACGCAACAAGAACTGCAATACATTTCTTTTCCTTGTCACCACTATTGGCCGACTAAACAGCCAGCCGATGTTTCTGCATGCGAGTAATGTAATGGAGGAGGTGGTGCAAGTTGGAGATGTGCCGGAAATTGCCGGTCGACGACGTGCACCCTTCAGATAACATATCATAACAATAAACCATACAACGAGCATCTTTGTTCAATTCAAGCACAAATCATCATATATCCATTCATGTGAGAATACACCAGTGACTTGCACTGACTCTCATGTCCCCTGCACCATCTCAGGACACTATCCCTGTCAATATCTTCTACGCAATCCTGGTGTGCGGGTGAAGGATCCATGCTTTCTTTGGCTAACTCGAAGGCCAGTCTCTCCGACGGCAACCACCACGATTTTAGTCTGGGTCGAGGCGGGCGTCGGGGTACCCATTAGCTCTGATGCTCTCCATGAGGAAGCCGATGGGCGTCGCATAGCTGACGTCCAAGTCGGAGGTATCCGCGGCACCAGCCCCGCCCGTGAGGAGCCCGCCAACACGACCATGCCCATCCACAACGACAGACCCCGAGTCCCCCGGGGCAGAGAACGAGCCAGACTTGTCGTCGTACGGGAGGATAGCCCACTCCTTCGAAATCCTATAGTCGTCCGCGTCGACGCACTCCCGGACAAAGGACACAACGCCCGTAGCACGCCCAATCGTCACGCCTGTAGTCCTCCCGCTTTTCATAACCACGAGGCACGGTTCGTCGTTCCCGTCGAGCATAGTCGGGCGGCGCATCTCCTCGTCCGTGATGGTACCCCGGAGCTTCAGGAGGCGGTCGGTAGGGTACTTGAAGTTGGGGAACATTTTTTCCGTAAACTCCCAGCGCGGGATCTCGGTGCCTAGGTCAATCGTGTTACCTTGGAAAGTACGCCTGTCGATCTTGTCGTCGTCCACCTCAATGATGGCGTAGTCGTCGGTGTAGCCTTGGGTGCCGGTGCCGATGGGAGGGGAGAGGACAACATGACCCAAGACGCGACTGGCGTGGGTGTTCCATTTCTTCTCGACGTCTTGGTAGAAGGCGGAGAGTGCCGTTATCGTCTTGTTCGCCTCATTCACCGCGCACTGAGCGTTCTCGCGTGCCTCCTTCCCTTTGGCTGCCTTGACAAGCCGTTCCTCATGCTCGACGATGACCCCGAGTCGGCGGATTCGAGTCAGAATGGACGCAAGGAGTTCTTGGTACGAAGTGTCGCCGAGGAGGAGGACATTGACACGAGGCTGGCTCCCGGATTTGCGTTCAAACTTGCTGTTTGGCCCCTTGTTTGTCGGGAAGACGACATGACGAGCCGTAACGAGGAGAAGCTTCTTGCTGTCGCCGCCTCCGGTAAGGAAAAAGCCGCCAGTGCCCTCGATATTCGGCGTGGCCTGGGCAGCGATGGGGAGACCCAGCGCGTGGGTAAGAGGGCCCTGAACGTCTGCAATCGGGTGGCGGAAGGAGACGGGCTCGAGGAGCTTGGGGCCAGCTGAGCGGATAACGGACGACTCGCGGATCTCGATCTCGACGTCGGTAATGTCGAACTCGCGGAGAACCTCCCGGCACCTGAACACTGTGGTGTAGCCGTCTTCACCGGAGAGAGAATTGGGAACCACGCCTATCCAGAGGATGACAGGGGCGAAGGCGGGGGGCTTGCCGATACGGACGATGTCGGTGCTCGTCCAGTTGACGTCCAGCTCATCGAGGCAGGCGTGGACCCTGCGAGCCAAGAGGCCGTCCCAGACGGTGTTTAGCGTGTGGTTGAAGACGGGATAGAGCTGCTTCGGCTCGTGGTACGCCTCCAGGCCCTTAGGCATCGCCCAGGGACTGGTGCTGGTGCGGGCCACCAAGACCGGGGAGGAGGGCAAGCCAGCGTAGTAGTACTTGGCCTCCATGGAAGGAGAAGTGTTCTCGGTACGACCGAAGCTTACGTCTGATAAATCCATTGCAGGAGAGGGAGGGGTTTCATTGAGGACTAACTTGTAACAATCAGGACAACGAATTGAGAGTCGAGTGTAGAGTAGTAAGACAGTGACTGAGTGGCATTTGGCAAAGCGTCAACGTCAGCGGGACAACCGTTTTGGGATGCACGGGTCAGCCCGGCCGATCTCCGATTCAAAAGCCAAGCTTTTCGATCTCTCCTGCTTTTGAACTCCATGATTGTCAAACCAGACCTGGGACTATGGCTGTTTGGACATAAAGGACACGGTAGTAAGGAGGTCAACGCTGGGAAAAAGAGGAGGATATGAGCGCCGACTACCATAGATGGTGCGCCATTACCCGTTGCTTGCTTACCCTTCACTGACCCTCTCTTCATCAGATCTGGTCTATCTCTTTTGCTGAATTCGTCGACTTTTGCTCGAGTTCACAGCGCTCCGTCCTTCCTTGTCCGTGGATTAAGTGAATACCATCCTACCCGTTCACCTCAAGTTCCCAGAGACAGTTCCGATGGTCGTCCAAGCTCCAGCATCAAGTCTCTTCACGTTCTTTTCCCTCCCGCCTTGTGGCTCTGGGAAGAAGATCGCAAATGACGGCAAGGAGAATCCAGCTGTATTCAGACGGGAAAGGCGCATCCGTCTCCTCTGAGAATGACATACGTCGCGGACTCAGAGGAAGTGCAAGTACCATAACGACATCCACACCGCGGGTGTATTCTCCTGGTGTGCAGGTTCAAATGGCGTAGATTATGAAATCGGTGCAGAGAGCACGGTCCTGCTTAGTATGTGTTGTTTTCTGAGTTGTCTCGGCATGCTCATGTTATCAGCAGCGTCGATCCCTTCCCACCAGGCGTGGTCGTCGTTTGTCTCCATCACATTTCAACCTTTCATCTCGCCCACCCAAGAGGCCGTTTATCTAGTAATAACCCTCCCCCCTTTGTTATCTCGCCCTTTGTTACCTGCAAGTCTATCATAGCCTATTGGATATGCGTGATGCACCAGGTTCGAGTCCTGGGGATGAAGTTATAAATACTAGTCACTGCCTACCTTTTGTCAATAACGGCTCCGATGAGCATGGGCGGTGTGAATCTGCAGTTGGTTGGTTGGTTTACTTTCTCCCCTCCCTGACACCGATGTTTACTGAGCTGAATACTACAGTCCCTCTGACAATGAAATCTAGCTTCTTCACACTCTTGATCTGCGCGTCAATATAGCTCGTCTCGCTAAGGATCAACCTCCTCCCTTTGTTGCCCCACTCTTCCCGACGTTGGTGTTCTTGTACTGGCAACCATGATTGTTGTAACGACCTCCTCATGATCTGGGCCTTACTCGGCACTCCCATGGCCGGATAACATACACTATACACTGGTATCCATCGTTTGGATGCTATCCGGGGACACATAAGTTATAAGAGGTGCTGTTCAACGGCAATTGATATCCAGTCGAAAATCTTCCCCGAATCGTTCATCCTCCATTCGGTCATAGACCCCAGTCAATGGACCGATAGTAACATTGCAAGAGGCTTCCACTGACTTACCAACTTCCTTGATCTCACGGATATTATTGATGGCCCCGGGGGACGTAGCAGCGTCTGAGAATAAATACATGGTCAGTGACATTAGAGAGATAGACCCCACTCAAGACGGCTTTTCCAGCTCGAGCATCCTTATCTAAGGTGCATCGCCTCTCAGTACATGCTGTCTGCAGCCTTGACCCGCACAGATAGACCTAACATCATCATCCCAGCTTTTACACCCATCGAGTGAGTCCTGAATGTAACCTGGATCACTCTCCCCGACAGTCCATGAAGTTAGGACAGAGGCACCCAATGCACA